AAGACAAAAAAAAAATAAATAAATAAATAAGGCTTGAATACCATGTTCACAGCAGCATTATTCACAACAGCCAAAAGGCAGAAGCAACCCAAGTATCCAACCAAGGATGAACGGATCAACAGACGTGGTGCATCCACACAACGTCATTTTATTCAGACTTAAAAACGAAGGAAATTCCGACAAACTCTGAAAGGGACCTTAGCCAGAGAACAGCCATCTTTGGGGTAACTAAGACCAAACAGAAAATTTCAGTTAACTCGGGAACTGATAATCACCAATTCCTTAAGGCTAGCAGAGGAATTGAGAAATTGACCATATGTCTAAAACTACCCGGGGATGAAATCATGTCCCAAAAGGACCCTTCTAAAAGCATTTATTTCTGGGCTGGCCTGTGGCTCACTCGGGAGAGCGTGGTGCTGATAACACCAAGGCCACAGGTTCGGATCCCTATATAAGGATGGCTGGTTGGCTCACTGGGTGAGCGTGGTGCTGACAACACCAAGTCAAGGGTTAAGATCGCCTTACCGGTCATCTTTTTAGAAAAAAAAAAACCATATTTCTGTTACACCGCCTTATGTTGAATTACTTTAGATGTTGTGCATCTACAATTAAGAATTGAAACTAAGTTTTCTTGTTTTTCTTACTTCCCTAATCAACTGTAAACAGAGGAAATCCAAGAGAGGGGCAAAGCACCCTAGCTAATTATTAATTCACCTTCTTGCTTAAAGGAGAATTGCATCCACATTAGTTACAGGTCTGAGTCAGGTATTTTTATGTTCCAGTGATGCTCGACTGAGGTTGCTGTCTTTGAGCTCTACCTAGGAGATAAGGACTCCAACCCTGAAATAACTTCAAAGGCTTGAAGTGACCAGTCCACCAACTGCAGACTCCATGATGCCAAAGCACCCAGTCCATCACAGGACCCTGACATCTGACACAGACCCTCTGTTGATCCTATGACCAGCCACCCCCTTTGCCAGCAGGACAAAACTCTTACCTCACCTTCCCACCTCTTCCCCTTTATAAACCCCAGAACAGGCATCAGAAGGAGGGATGATTTTAGCCTAGTCATCCCCCAGACGCTGGTTATTTGAATAAACCTTCCAATTCTTGCACCAACTTGGTGCAAACTTGGCAAGCAGAGCTTGTTGCAGGTTACAACACTTCACCATGGATGAACCTTGGGGACATTATACTGAGTAAAATAAGCCAGTCACCAAAGGATAAACACTGTATGATTCCAACTGTATCAGGTCCCTACGGTAGTAAGGATTCTAGAGACACATAGAATGGTGGTTGCCAGGGCCTGGGGGCAGGAGTGAATGGGGAGATCTTATCTGGGGAGGACAGAGTTTCAGCTTCCAAGATGAAAAGGCCTGCAGATTTGTTGCACAACAGCGTGAATGAACTTAGCACTACAGAACTTTATACTTTAAAAGGTTCAGATTTTAAATTCTATTATATATGTTTAACCACGGCCCCCTCAGACCCTCCTCCCCCCAAGAAGCATAAGGGATGGACACAGCAAAAATTCAACCATTTTTAAAACAAAACATGCAAGGTGGGGCTGGGGAAGAGTGGCTCTGGCGACATACAAGCTCCAAGGAATCTGCCTCCCGAGGGTGCTCTGCTTGGGGTTTACAAAATGATGCACGCCAGCACTATTCACACCCTCTGCCCACCACCACACATGGGTGACATCTTGGAAAGAGCCGGCCCTGGACTCATACCAGGGAACCACTGTGAGGCACTGCAGGCAGAGCAACGACAAGCTCTTATTTCTGTCTCTAGAACATTTGGGAAATGCATGTCCTCTTCCTGTTCTGGGAGTTTTCGAGAGATACCAGCACATTAAAGACCCTGAGAGGTCCTTAGTGCAGAGGCCTCCGAACCCACATGAGCCCAGGGAGTGAGTGGCCCTTCTGTCTGGGCAGCAAGCTACTAACACCAGTCAGGAAAGTTCTGGTATGCTATGAAGCGCCACTCCCAACTCTTCTAGAAGTGCAAACGACTCCTTCATCATTACCTTGTGCCCAAGCAGCATTTCCTCCTGGCACTGATCACACAGCCTGCCAGAATGCCCTCACACACCTCTACCTAGAAACCCTGGAAGTAAGGACGTTGTAACTCAGTTGCCCACTGACTGATCCAACTGGAAAATGTGATTTGCAGAGATTACTGGCACAGTGGGGACCTCCTTAAGGCTTGGAAATCCTTTCCCCTCTGCATCTCTCTTAACTCCCAGGACTCAGACAATTTTGTACACTAGTTTGACTGAAAATTCCAGGTTCCGAATCCCATCACAGCTGCTTCTAGAAACACTGTGTAGGCATGTCCACCGCATGCCCAAGACCATGCCCAGGGAGGGGGTGGGCAGTGCATTTAAAACCAAAGAAAGGCTCACACACCATCCAACTCGCTCCCAGCACCTCCGCTTGCTGGGCTCATAGGTGAGTGCGGCTTCCCACAGGTCCAGGTCCGGGGTCATGCTTGGTTCAGACTGGGAATCGGGAGTCAAATTGGATGCTGACTGAAATCCTTCATCTTCCCACTGATCCACACTCTGTGGGACCTAAAGACCACAGGAAAGAGTGAGCCCCACCTGTTCCTTTGTGTCTACATTTCATCCCAGTGTGATCAGAATGCCAGGAACTTTATCCACATACTCTCATTTACTCACTAGAGGGAAAGACCCAGCAGAATGTTTCTTCTACTTTCCTCAGGCACATAAATACTAGAACACAACGTTACCCCCCCTCAGTGAATCATTTAAGAAATTAAGCAAAATAATTCACTCAGGTTATCAAAGTTATATTTCACATAACAAGCAAGCCTCAACATAACTGACATTAAAACTTTTCATAAAACACCTCTGACCTAGAAATTCCATTTTGGAGAGCCAACATTAAAAACAAACAAACAGGGCCGGCCCGGTGGCGCACTCGGTAGAGTGCGGCGCTTGGGAGTGCAGCCGCTGAGGGTTCGGATCCCATATAGAGACCGGTCTGCTCGCTGGTTGAGCGCGGTGCGGGCGCGACACCGAGGGTTGCGATCCCGTTGCCGGTCGTGCGACACTGAGGGTTGCGATCCCGTTACGGGTCACGAAAAAAGACAAAAAAGGAAAAAAAAAAACTCCATACTAGACACAAAAAAATTTACATACACCAAGATGTTTGCTGTAGCATTATTATCATTATCATTATTATTTTTTTTTTGGTGGCTGGCTGGTACAGGGATCAAACCCTGGACCTTCGTGTCACTAGTGACAAGCTCTAATCAACTGAGCTAACCAGCCAGGCCCTAATTTAAATTTAAAAAGCAGCTCTGGAGAGCAGAAAAAAGTGACTTAATATGCTCCGTTAGGTAAAAGATGAAAAGCAGCATATGGCTTTGGCCTGCAGGTGGGCAGTGGCACCCTTGTTAGGATAGCGGATGCCAAGAAGCCCACTCCAGCAACCCACCTCATGTCAGCTCAGTCACCAGGTGACCTGGACTCCAGCTGTCCTACCTTTTACCAGATAAAAGGAAGGTCAAAAAATTATCTTCCGGGGCCGCCCGGTGGCGCACTCAGTGGAGTGCGGCGGCGCTCCCGCCGAGGGTTCGGATCCCACAGAGACCGGTCCGCTCACTGGTTGAGCGCGGTGTGGGCGCGACACCAAGGGGTGCGATACCATTGCCGGTCGCGGTGCGGGCGCGACACTGAGGGTTGCGATCCCGTTACCGGTCACGAAAAAAAGACAAAAAGGAAAAAAAAAATTATCTTCCAAACACCTAGAAAGATGAAAGTAGGTAGGCAAACACTATACCTTAATGACCAGTCCAGAGAGGTCTGCGCTGTCTGGCACTGGGGGCAGGTCCAGTCGGACATCCATGTCATAAGTGCGGCTGTGCACAAGGGCACCAAAGAGCGAGACCCGGGTGTCCCTCTCAAACCTGTCACCACAAGGGTCACCAAATGAGAAGAACCCGACAGTGGGCAAGCCGGTGCCTGGAGCAGCCTCCATCACCTGAAGCGCTTCCTGGATCACGTTGTGACACAAACACTCTTCTCTGGAGATCAGAGACCGAACGTCCATCTCAAACACGCTCAGGTCACAGCAGTCATAGCCGCTGTGCGGAACGTTCCTCCCCACGTGCTTGCTGTTAAGGAAGTAGTCCCGTTTTCGCGGCATGACTAAAGGGGGACCACTCCCCGCCAGCTGAACCAGGAGATCCAAAACTGACCCCACCTCCGCCAGCGGACAGCACGGGGCTGCCTCGAGCTCCTCCACAAGCTCCTCCAGACGGTCGGCCTGGGGGCCCAGGCCGCCCACTCTCAAGTCGAAGGACAGCATGAGGATCTTGTTCCTCACTGGGAGTCGTGGCAGGGAGGGCTGCCGCAGGTGAGCCTCATCTTGAAAGAGGTTTGTGAAGAGCGCGTTGTAGGCCGCCCTCTTGAGGCTCCGCTTGGCCCTCCTCCGGTTCACGCTGCGCTGGCCCGGGTGGGTCCTGGCGGCCGGCAGGAGGGCCTCGCACAGGTCATCGAACAGCTGGGTGATGCTGGCCATGCCCACGCCCTCTACGCCCTCTTCGCGCCCGGCCCCAGCGCGGGAACGCCTCGGCCGGCTTCCCTCCGCGCTCTGAAGGACAGGCCCGGCCGAGGCCTCCGTAACCTCAACCCCGGGTCTCGGAGCTCGTTTTTCTTACAAGAACGTCTACGGCTGGGAGAGGGTCCCGCCCGGGCCTCGCGGGCCAGGCAGGGCTGGGCAGGGTCCCCGGGGCTCGGCCGCACGCGCGCGAACTCCTTAGGGCTCACGGTGGGGAGCGCCCGCGGGGACCGCTGAGCAGGCAGGCGCGCCGGAAATGCGTCACCGGGGATGCCGACGGCACGCGGGGCGGGACCGGAAGGGGCGGGCCTGGAGCCCGCCATGAGCGGCAGCGCGCATCTGGCTTGGAACCTCGTTCCCGCGGGTGGGGAAACGGAGACCCGCGGGGGCGCAGTAAAAGAGGCAGAGTCTGGCTTTCGTGGAACCGGCGTTTACTGCTTGGGAGTGGAGGGCGCGGGGGCGGGCAGGCGGAGCTCAGGTCGCCGCAGCGGCCGGCCCTGGCGGCCGGGCGTTGTTTCCGAGATGTAAATACGCCGGCCTTGGCCGATTTCGAGCTACCGGGTGAGGACGGCACCAACGGAGCTGGGAAGGAGGCGCACGGCGGGCCCGCGCTGCTGCGGGCTGGCCCTAAGGCAGCACTGTCCCCCGGGCCCCAGGGCAGCGCCGTGCCTCCCCGCCGGGCTCTCCCGCCACCTGTAGCATCTTCCACTGGGGCTGCAGCCGCCCTCTCAGGTACATCAGGGCCTGGACGTCCTCTGGAGAGGCCATCGAGAAAGGGCCCGGGCTGGGAGGTGCCTCTCCATGCAGCACCCGGGCCAGCATCTTTGCAAGCTGGGGTGTGGATTCCTGGGCCGGGGCAGAGGTGGAAGCCGTGACTCACTGATCTGTCCCTACCTCCCATCCAACAGTACATCCACTCTTCCCAACTGACCTCCTCCACAAGGACCAGGACTCGGCCCCCTGCTGGCCCCTGCAGCATTGCAGCCAGGAGAGCAGCCTGGGGGTCCTGCAGGCCATGGGCAGGCCCCAGCCCCACCAGCACCAAGTCAGGCTGGAAGCCATAGGCCAGGGGCATCACCAGCCCCAAGATGCAGTTCAGGAACCCACCGTTTGTCTGTGGGGACAACAGCAGAGCCCCAGCCCCTCATCCAGGATACCCCTCCTGGCTCCAGCCACCCCACCTCCCAATCTCAGGGAACCCAGAGTGTGAACAGGCAGCCTGGGGGCTGGCCCTCACACTGATGCTGGTGAGCTGCAGCAGCATACACTCATGGGGCCCACAGTACCTGCCCCACCCCATGGCACAGCCACTCACCCCTGGCAGTGGCATGGAGATGTGGAACACGGACAGGGCAGCTGCTTCCTTGCCCCTGATGTTCAGCCACAGAGTCCTCCTTCCAGGAAGAGTGAGCACCGTGCACACGTGTGCATATGTGTGAGACCCTGCTCACCCTCTTGAGCCCCGACAGCAGGGGAGAGGGAGGAGGAGAGCTTGGGGGCCACAGGCAGGGATGGGTGGGGCAGGGGTGCTGTGACTGCTGACCCTCTGTGTTGGAAATCCACCTGGCATTGCCCCCAGTGCCCCTGTCCCAAACCCCAGCTTTGGAAGGCCCCCATTCGCCATACAGTGCCCCACCCACATGCAGGAGTGGACAGATGCATGATCTGAGAGTCCTACCCATCATCAGCGAGGTCCAGGGGCCGGTCCAGCTGTCCGAGGACCACACAGAGCAGTCTGCAGGAAGAGTCAGCCCCAGGACAGGCTGTGCTCACACTGCCCAGGATCCATTTCCAGAGCCCTCCCCATGTGGCCAGCCAGAGCAGGGAGTACCCATGTGCTCTGCTCAGGACAGCCAGGTGAGGCTCACCTCTGGGCTCCACGGGACAGGCCTCTCCGAATGGCCACATCCAGAGTGGCCGCTGCAGCAGGGGCTGGGGTGTCTGCAATGCCGCTGCTTACCTGGGGGACGCATACACAGAAGAATAAGACACCACCCAACTCCCAAGCCTGGGAAACAGACCCATTCATCCCTTTTTTGGTTCCTGTCTGTGTGGCTGTTATCAGTCCTCCCTTACACTCTGAGGTCAAATCACTCCGTTTCTGTAAATAAGATGCTTAAAACCTCAACTTTTTTTTTTTTTTTAAAGATGACCGGTAAGGGCCGGCCCGTGGCTCACTCGGGAGAGTGCGGTGCTGATAACACCAAGGCCCCGGGTTCGGATCCCATATAGGGATGGCCGGTTCGCTCACTGGCTGAGCATGGTGCTGACAACACCAAGTCAAGGGTTAAGATCCCCTAACCGGTCATCTTTTTAAAAATAAATAAATAAATAAATAAATAATAAATAAAAAGATGACCGGTAAGGGAACATGGTGCTGACAACACCAAGTCAAGGGTTAAGATCCCCTAACCGGTCATCTTTTAAAAAATAAATAAATAAATAAATAAATAATAAATAAAAAGATGACCGGTAAGGGAATCTTAACCCTTGACCTGGTGCTGTCAGCACCACGCTCTCCCAAGTGAGCCAACTGGCTATCCCTATATGGGATCCGAACCCATGGCCTTGGTGTTATCAGCATCACACTCTCCCGAGTGAGCCACGGGCCAGCCCAAAACTACACTTTAAATCGCCCCTTTTACTTCTCTGCCAAAATTTGCTTAGTTAAGGGGGCTGAGGCAGGTGATGCGTGATCCCCATCCCTGGAGCTGTTCTAGCAGTGGTCACTGGCACAAGGTAACACTCATGTCTGTGTGGTTCTGCACCACCCAGCCCTCCCCTGACAGGCCATACCTTGTGAGCAGGTCCTGGGCCGCCACCCTCCCCACCCCCTGTCGATGGCACCCCCAGCTGCTCCCAGGCACCCCCACCTGCCCATCCAGGATCCCATCTAAGAGGTACAGCAGCTTCCCAAGTGCAGTGAGGGCCTTGTCTTGGGCCAGGGACTCATGTGGCCTGTGGTGGGCAGCCAGAGGGACACACAGACACGAAGTGACCGCACATCAGTCACATACAGGCACGTGCAGGGATGTGGCCCCACCCCTCCCCAGGCCTGCCCTGCTCACCTCGCCCAGGCTTCTGCCTCCTCCCTCGGGGCTGATGCCTCCTGACGGAGGACGTCAGGAGGCAGGACCAGGGTGGCATCTGGCACAGTCAGGACAACTGCCGTGCGGACAGGGGGTGTGGGGTGGAGGCACAGCTGGTCCATGAGGGAGCTCAGCACAGCTGCTCCTGCCTTGAAGGTGGGGCCACTGGGCCTCCCCTCCAGGGAGCAGGTGCTAGGACTCAGCACAGGGGACGCACCTAGGAGGCATTCATAGTCATGGCCACTACTTGGGAGTCCAAGGTGGGATCCTGCCAGCCCAGGCCTGGCCCACACTAACCTTGCTGCTGCAGGCTCATCCAGTGAGGGGCCTGAGCTGCTCGGACACTCTGGATGGACTCCAGGGCACTGCGGGGGCAAAGCGAGCTCAGTAAGGCATGGCCTCCCCCACCAGCCCAACCCACCCACCAGCCCCTCGCACCTCTGGCATGGCGCCATGGCCCCCAACAGCGGGGGGGCAGGGTCGCCCAGCAGTGCCTGCACCATCATGCACACCGATTGCGCCAACGACTCCAGGTGGTAGCCGCCCTGCCAGGAGGGTGGAGACGTGATAGGGCAGAGGTGTCACTGGGGCAGGGCATAACGGGGGGCCCATCTGTGGCTCACTGACCCAGGCAGCACACTCCACCCAGCTGCACATTGGGGCCTGGCTCCCATGCTCCCAGTGTTGTTGGCCCCGAGCCCTGGCTTGTGCACCCTCCCTGCTCGCCCACCATGGTCACCTCCAGCACGGCACAGACCCGGCCGCCGGCCAGCACCTGCAGTAGCTGAGTGAGGTGGGCAAAACACTCTGGCGTGGCCTGCATCTGCCCCTAGAACCAGAGACCTGTGTGATGGGAGGTCTGGGCCCCTGGACCCCTGAGGCCCTCCCCAGCCAGACCAGGCCCTCACCTCTGGGTCCCCGATGGCCGAGTCAAATCCTGCCGAGACTAGCACCAGCTCGGGGTCAAACTATAGGCAGAGCCAGGTCGAGATGGGCAGGAAAGAGGCTGGAGCCCAGGTGAGGGGGTGGCCCGGCCCTTCCTGAGGGACCCTCCTCTCCCCACAAGGGTCCATTCACATTCTGCTGGAATGACTCCTTGTCCTTCATGGTGGGACTCCAGGCACTGACTCCCCCTCCCGCCACCTGCCCTGGGGGTCACCACCCCCAGCGCACCCACCTCAAGGGCCAGTGGGAGCAGCACATGCAGGAAGGCAGCCACATAGTCGGCATTTCCCATCCCGACCTGCAAGGAGGGAGCGTCAGCAGGCCAGCCCTGCCAGTGGGGACTGTGGGGTCCTCATTCTGGGGCCTGGGCTCTGGGGGGACCCGGTAGGATGCCCCAGGCTACGCCCTGGAGGCTCAGAGCTGTGGGGCAGGGGAAGGGTGCATGTGAAGATGGTCAGCTGGGTGGGGGGCCGTGGGTGGGCACCTGATTCCAGGGCAGGTTGACAGTGAAGCCGTGGCCTGGCCCCTGCCCAACCACATCTGCGTCTGACTCTCGCAGGAAGGGCCAGAAGCATCCGTGCTCGTAGCGGTGCCAGGAGAAGTAAAGGACACTGTGGACAGACAGCAGGTTAGAGGTCAGTGGTCAGGACTCTCCGCAGCTCCGTGGCTCCTTGCGGAACGCTGATCCCTGAGCACACAGCTGCGCCTCCCCCTTGGATTTTTCCAGGCCAGGCTGTGCAAACCCCCCAAAAGTGGGGTTCCAAGGAAGGGTCGCATGCCCATCCCCAGCTCACCTGGGATCATCCTCGAAGATATACTGGATGCCCTGGCCATGGTGGACATCCCAGTCAACAATGAGAATCCTGGGACAGACCATGCTGGGGGTCACTGAGGGGCAGGGTCTCCCATCTCCAGCCAGGAGCTCCGCCAGGATGGGAAGGGGCTGGGTGGGTCCTCTCAGCCACACGCTCCACCCTCCTTCGGTCCCCACTCCGGCAGCCACCTGGCACACACCTGTGCAGCCCGTGCTTCTGCTTGGCATGTTCGGCTGCAATGGCCACATTGTTGAACACACAAAACCCACTGGCAGCTGCCCTCTGGCTGTGATGCCCAGGAGGCCTGGTAAGTGAGAACGGGGTATGAGGCACATCAGGGTCACCCTGTCCCCTCCTGGGCCCACTGGCGGGGGTGGGCAGCCAGGTGAGGGGCAGCTCTCACCTCACCAGGGCAAGCCCATTGCGCACAACTCCCATCAGCACGGCATCCACCAGCTGCAGTGCGGCCCCCGCGGCCAGCTGGGCACAGTGAAAAGTACTCTGTGGGGCAGGGGTGCAAATGAGCCCCGTCCTCACAGGCTAGGGCCACGCCTATGCCAGGCTGCAGAGCACTCACTGCTGAGCAGAAGGGGCCAGGCTGGTCCTGGGTGCCAGAAGTGGCAGCAGGTGGGGTGAGCAGGGCACTGTCACAGCATGAGTGAGGGGACACTGGCTGGGGCTGGCAGCCATGGCACGAACTCTCACAAGCGTGTGGATGTGTATCTGGGGGTGGTGGGGATGGACAGCTGTCACAGCATGAGTGAGGGGACACTGGCTGGGGCTGGCAGCCATGGCACGAACTCTCACAGGCGTGTGGATGTGTATCTGGGGGTGGTGGGGATGGACAGCACGCACCGGGTGGAAGTAGACGGCATCGTACTGTCCAGACAGCGCCTGGAGCTCCCCCTTGCCCAGAGCCTGAGTCCCCCGAACCATGGCCACGTACTCCAGGCTGCAGACGGGTGGGCAGGTAGGTAAGGCAGGGTCACCAGCAGGAGCAGGGAAGGGAGGAGGGGCTGGGAGTCCTGGCAGGAGTGCCCACCCCATTACTCCCTCCTGCCTTGAGCCTGCTCACCCAACCCCCACGGCGAGACAGGCGCATGGGGGAGAGGCTCGCCCGGGAGATGCTGGACCCAGGGCGGACCCCTAGGTGGGCTGTCCTGGGCGCTGGTGGCCCTCCCCAGGTCTGACCTGTGCACCAGGCCTAGCTCCGCCTCCGAGGCCTCGCGGGCTGACAGCCGCAGGCACCTCTGCTCCAGGCCGCACTGCCGCAGGCGGTCCAGGACAGCAGTCAGGCGCTCAGGACACTCGATCTCACACTCAGGGCTGGGGCAGAGGGAGAGCTCAGTGCGCAGAGCCCTTCCCCCTCCCCCCACCTCAGCCAGGTCACACTTACTCATCCCAGAGCAGCCGGGTGGCCGTCATGTCCTCATGGTACACAAGCGCAGTCCCCATGGCTGGGCTGGGGTCACTCTGGGCCACTCTGGGGTGGCAGGACCCAATGCCCTCTGCTGGCAGGTGCCTGCACTGCCTGTCCCCGCTGTGCAGCCCTGGGAACAGCCCAGCACCTTGGACTTGCCTAGAACAGAGTCTGGGCGGTGGGCACACAGAAGCCAGGCACGCACAGGGGTCCCAGGCACGCAGTTGGTGCCAGGGGGAGGCCGAGGTCGACAAGTTGGCTTCCAGGGCCCAGCTTCCGGTTTCCTCCGACTTGGACCCAGGCCCTGCCCCTCCCCTGGCTGCAGCCAACCCCGCCCTGAAGCAACACGGGAGCGGGCGGGCCGGATGCCGAGCCGCGCCAGCCTCCACCCGCGCCCGGCCCCCCGCTCCGCCTCCTCCACCCGCCTGGCTCCCACCCCTTCGCAGACCTGACTGCCCTGGGCCAGCCTCTCCCGTCCCTGCTTCCTTCTGCACCAAACCTCCCCCAGCCCACCCTGACCACACAAGCCACGGGGTCAGATGTGTCACCAGCCCACTGCATCCAGGGCAGCCGATGTGAGGGAGGTAGGAGGCCAGGAGAGGCCAGGGGAAAAGGCCACGAGGCAGGAGAGAGCCCCTTGGCAAGGCGGGTGGTGGGAGGCCCGGCTGGGGGTGGTGGTCGTGGCTAACTCAGCCTGGATGCATCCACATGCACCACCACCCCCACGCTTTAAAAAAAGAGTGACAGGCCGGCCTGTGGCTCACTCGGGAGAGTGTGGTGCTGAAAACACCAAGGCCACGGGTTCGGATCCCATATAGGGATGGCCGGTTAGCTCACTGGCTGAGCGTGGTGCTGACAACACCAAGCCAAGGGTTGAGATCCCCTTACCGGTCATCTTAAAAAAAAATAAAAATAAATTTAAAAAAAATTAAAAAAGAGTGACAGGGTCCGATTTAAGCTCAAGGAAGACCCCTAGCCGAAGAGCAAACAGTGGACGAAGAGTCAGAGGGTCAGAGTGGAGGCCGAGAACCTGGACAGGAGTCACCGCAGCGTCGGGCGAGGCGAGGAGCGCAGGAGGCCGGATGGAGGGGAGGGGACGGGGAGGGAGGGTCTGAGCGAGGAAGGAAGGAAAGAGGGAGGCGGCCGGAGAGAGAAGGAAACCCAGAGCCACCACCCAAAACCAAGGGGTCCTGGGGCCCCTAGTCATGTTCCTCAATCAGTCCTGCTGTTTAGGGTGCTGAGCGTGGCCACTGACCCAGGCAGCAAAGAGACGCAGCCAGCTGCAGAGTGCCCCACCAGGACTGTGTGGAGGGCGGTGGGTCTGGGTGGGGGTCCATCTGAGGCACGAGAGGGCCCCTGGGCAGAGAAAGCCAGTGCCCATTGTGGCAACTCCTCTGACTGCTTTTGGGTGAGCCCACTGTATGCATATTCATCTGAACTCCGGGCTGGGAGGGGGAAGCCTGGGCCTGCCACCCCCTCGATGGTCTGGGTATGCCTCCCCTGTGACCACTGGCCTGGCCACACTTTGGGTGCCCCTGCCTATGGGACAGGTGGGGAGGATCCAGGGCAACCACAGGAGCCCAGGTGTGGCCTCTGACCCAGCCACCAGTCCTCAGAGACTTCAAATGGCCGGCAGAGGGCAGTGCAGCCCACCAGAGTTGCTGGGGTGTGGCGGGAGCAGGAGCAGGTGCTTTTATCAAGAGAACAGAACCCACACCTGGGCAGCTTGCCACCTGGCTGCAGAAGCCAGCGGTGTCTCACTGTGCCCAGTGTGTCCCCTCCCTCCACAGGAGCCTCTGGCTTTGGAGGGTGCAGGGAGCTGAGACCCAGGCTTGACCCCAACAGCCCTTCCTCATCAGGCCCTGGCCCTGGGTCTGGCTCCAGGGTCCACACACTGTGGCTTAGACTCTAAGCCATTAGAGGAAGATCACCCCACAGGAGAGAAGGGAAGGGGGCCAAGCCAATGGGGGACTCAAGGCTCACTGGCTCAGAGGGTCTGTGCTCTCAGACCACCCTCCTTTCCCTGTGCAGGGCAACAGCTCAGAGGCCCAGGTTGGGATCAAGCATCAGGAGGCAGGGCAGAGGGGGAGATTTACAAAACGGTTTATTTCCTTCCAGCCATATGGGCACACCCCATGGCTGACTTACATTCTATGCTGGGGGGTGCAGGAGAGTCCACAGACACGCCCCCAGGAGAGATGCTGTCCCTGAGTCGTCACCCTGTGCCCTCCCTCTGTCCTTTCTTCTCAGGTGCTGGGCCTCCAGCAGGACTGAGGCCAGGACTTGACCCTGAGTCCTCCCAGCTTTTAGGCTTCTTATTGCACCCTGGCCGAAGGGGGCACCTGCTCCAGGGGTCAGAGGCCAGCCCCAGGTCAGATGGGGTCCTGTCCAGAAAGTTCAGATGCTCCTCTAAGGTCAGCTGAGGTGGGTGCCCGAGAGCAGAGAAACAGGCTTGAGGGAGGGAAGAGCGATCCTGGGAACGAGGGGCCTGCTCATCCTCTCCCAGGAGATGCCTTGGGATGCAAGCCCAGCCAAGGTCAAGGTGATAGCCAGGATCCCCTCCCAGGTGGAAGGCTAAGGCGTGAAGCGCCAGCCAGGGTCCCTAGGTTGTCCCCCCACCCCCACCCCTTGGCCCAGAGGTCTTCAGAGGGCTGTCTCTTTGGAGACCCTGGCCCCCAGCTGCCTGGGAGGCTTGAAGCTCAGCACCTCTTTATAAGTGACACCTGGGGAGGGCGAGAGAGACAGAGACGGAGAGTCAGCCTCTGCTTCCACCCACAGGGTCAGCTCACGCTGAGCACACGCGGGCAGAAACCAGTGCCTCAGGCCCTTTCTCTAATCCTAATGGGCCGGCCCACTCAGGGAAAGTTTGTTTGAAGAGGCCATCCCTGTAAAGTCAATGTCCCCAGGAAACAGGAGGTGACAAGTGTTTGCACTCCTGACCAGGGGCTGGGCCACAAACAGGCCACGTGTTCACCATGGTCTGTGGTAAAAATAAAAGCTCCCAGCCACAGTTTATGTGGTGGGGACCACAGAGAGAATCCTGTGGCCCGTGGTTTTCAAGTTAGTCTCTTTAGCAGCAGAAACCCTTCATCAAACAAAACCAAACTCAGAAGCACACAGGACAGCGCAGAGGAACTGCGGTCCTAAGGAACACGGTTTGAGGACCTCCACCCATCCAGTCCCTCTGCCCCAGTATGCAGGACCGAGACCCTGGGTGGGAGGCAGAGCCAGGACGGGGCCTGGGACACAGTGGCACCCCCTGTGCTGACTTGCTGCCCTCAGCCCCAGGCTGGTTATGCGGCTGGGCTGTGGAGAAGACACCAGCCCAGCCCTCACGACTGCCATGCCATTTGGGAGCACAGACAGAGGAGACCTGTTCCAATGTGGGGCCTTGGGGCCATAGCAGGGGCATGGGGTGCTGGGGAAGTGTCCTTGGCCAGCCCTCAAAGCTGAGGGGAGGGCCCCTGGTGTAAGGAGGCAGCCAGTGCAAAGCCCAGAGGTGCACAGCACAGCACACGGTGGGGGGAAAGGGTCTGAACTGCTCAGTGGGGCTGGAGGGGACAGATGGGGAGGGGCGAGGCCCTGAGGGATGCCTAGGGGCAGACTATCCTGTGGGCAGGACATGAAGAGTGCACGTTGTACAGGTGGGAGGGCAAACTCAAGAGGTGTGGGCAGAGAGGCCTTAGGGTAAGTGGACGAGAAGGGGCTCCAAGATGGCCCAGGCCTCTGGCCTGGACATGGGGACAGGTCTGGCAGCGGAGACGCAAGGTGGGCACTGCTGCCCTAAGCTCAGAGCTGCCCACCACACTTCCCTCATCCTTGAGCTGCAGGCAGAGGTCACCTTGGCTAGGCTGCACAGCCCCAGCCGCCCTCTGACTTCATCCTCTTCCTCACTTGACCTGCATCCCAGGGATGGGGGTCCAGAGGCAGGTGCCGCCCAGAGCCCCCCACCAACTCACACTTCCACTCGTCCAGTGTGCGGTCCACATCGTCAAAGGAGTCGTCATACTTCTGGGCTTTGGGCTCGTCCTCCGTGTCATGCAGGGACTCAAAGTAGGGGTGCACCAGCGCCTCGGCGGCCGTCACCCGCTGATCCGCATCCAGCACCAGCATCTTCTCCAGGAGGTTCACCGCTGGGGGGAGGTGCATCAGGCCAGGCCGTGGGAGGCCCCATGCTGCAGGGCCCTGTGACCCCACCTCGATACCACCCCCACCCCTGCCTCCACCCCGCCCAACCCTACCCAGAGGGCTTGCATTGGTCAGGACGGAGGCAAAATCCTTCTTCTCCAGCTCGGGGAGGCCCTTCATGTAGTTCTTAGCCTGCGTGGAAGGAAGGGTGAGGGACCAGCCCCAGCCCCACGCCCGGCCCCGCGCTCAGCCCCCCCTGACCTCGGCACTCTGCAGCCTCTGCACAAACTCGGCTGGAGGCGTCCCCGTCACCTTCATGATCTCCTTCAGCTGGTCCAGGTCTACACTAAGGTCAGGAGCACAGCAGGGACCAGAGAGCGGGCCCCCCACTGGCCCAGGTCGCAGCCCAGCCCCGCTGGCCCCAGTGCTGCCCACGGCAGGAGGATACGATCGTTGCCTTTGAAGAGCGTCTTCCCCGTGATCATCTCCGCCATGATGCAGCCCACAGACCAGATGTCCACTGACACAGACGCCCCGGTCAGCGCTCCGTGGGGGTGGGGGAGAGGGGGCGGCAGACACATGGGCCCGTTTGGGTTCGGCAGGCCCACACCCTCACCCGGCTCCCACCCCAGCTCAGCAGCCTCCCGGGGAGCCGCTGCCATGGGGTTCCCCATCAAGAAACAGGGAGACAGGAGGTGCAGCCTGGGGGGTGCCGAGCCTCCGGGCAGCCTCTCACCTGTCTGGGTGTAGTGCATCCAATTCAGTATGACCTCAGGTGCCCGGTACCACCGCGTCACCACGTATCCCGTCATCTCACTGTCTGCCTGCCTGGCCAGACCGAAGTCCAGGATCTACAGGAAGAATGGGGGTGGTGGAACCGAGGGGACCCCTGAGGAGTGAGCGGGCCAGCTGTGGTACAGGAGACCCGAAAGCAGCTGGGCCTGAAGCCTCCATGCTGGGACCTCTTGCCAACCCTCCAGGGCTTGAGGCCACAGCCTCGGACCCCAAACCACCCCCTGGGTTCCACCCTGTGGCCGGTGCACCCAGCCCACCAACCTCAGAAGCAGGTACCCAGGGGTCGCCTCTCCCTGGTCTGCCACCCCCTGCTCACCCTCCGGAGGCATCCTGAGCCCTTCCTGGCTCAGGCAGGGAGGACAGGGGTGCCGCCCACCCCTCACCTGAAGCAGGCATGCAGTGTGCCCAGCACCACCCCCACTACGAGCCACCCCAGGGCCCATCTGCCCCCCAGCTGCTTGGCCACTGCCCAGAGGCCTGCGGTCTGGTCCCTCCGCCTGTGCCCCCCTCTTGGCCCTCCATACTGGACGACGCACCTTCAGCTCACAGTCCTCATTCACCGCCAGGTTGCCGGGCTTCAGGTCCTGCGGGCAGAGGAAAGGCGACCACTAAACTCCGCATGCCAGAGCAGGTGCAAGGCCAAGAGCCCGGCAGCACCTAAACAAGGGACCAGCAGACCTGGCCTGGTCCCCTTGTCCCCTGCAGCCCTTCCAGGCAGGGAGGTGGTGCCTGGGCCCCCAGGACAGGCTTTGGACAAAAGCAGTGCATGGGGCATCATGTGCACCCCCCACCAGACCCCATCATCCCTTCCTTACAAGTGAGAACTGCAGGCTGGGAGACGCAGCCCTTCACATGCCCACACAGCTGGGGGACGCGCTGACAGGCGGCCTCCCACCCCCACCAGGACTCACCCTGTGGATGATGCCGGCAGCGTGGATATACTGTGGGGGCAGAGAGAGTGGTCGGCAGCCGTCAGCTCAGTGGGACCAAAGAGCCACAGAACCTGCCCCACCGCGCCCCTCTCAGGGACCCTCCCACCTCCCACGGCCCCCCTGCAGGTCCCCACCTTCAGCCCCTTCAGCATCTGATACATGAGGAACTGGATCCGGTCCTCACTCAGCTTCTCGTGCTTCATGAGCTTGCCCAGGTCCGTGCCCATGAAGGGCATCACCAGGTAACTGTGGGAGCAGGCTGGGATGTGGTCGGGGAAGCAGGACCAGCCCCTGCACCCGGGCGTCCCGCCCGCTGCACCCAAGCCCAGACCGGGAAGACTCCGCCCCAGCAGGTGCCCCTCGGAACGTCACCTGCAGCACCCAGTCCCCACTGGTCCTGCCACCCTGCCCTGGCAGAGTCCTCACAGCTCCCACCATGCTGTGCCAGGCTCCATCAACCCTCTGGTCCCACCTGTCACTGTCAGCAATGACCCTACCTTCTCCAACACATGCCCATTACTCCCCCCAGGTGGGGAGGGGCTGAGCTTTGGGGTTTTGGACTCTAAATTGAAGGGCCCTGCGTGCCCAGCATGGTGCCGGGGCTACAGCTGGAAGGCTGAGGAACACAAAGGTCCCCGGGCAGGGGAGGGAGGTGCCTGGGCAGGGGTGGGGGTGGCAAGACATTTGAGTCAGAGGGGTGAGCTGGATGGCTGGAGGGAGACACAGAGGAGAGTGGCATTTAGCACCCCCCAGAGGATGCTGAGGCCAGTGTCCATCCTTGACCTCTGCAAGACAGACAGTGAGGACTGTGCTGCCCTCTCCAGCCCTTCCCAGGCCCTGCCCTTGGCTGACAAGGGTGTGAACCCAGGGGTGGCCAGCTGCAGGACAGGCTCAGCAGGGCAGGGACAGGGTGAATGCTCCCTGCCGCCTCTGCCTCACCCGCCAGCAAAGGTCAGCAGCTCCAGTTACAGGCCATAAACTTGGTGCCAGAGTCCCGAGCACGGGACCTGCCTGTTAACAAATGCTCAGGTCCAAGCTTCACACCTCTGGCACTGGAGAGGGCTCAGCTGCCAGGTTTGGAGGGAGGATGAGATCCCAGGAGCATGTGAGAGGAGAGCACTGGGTGGACTGTGGTTTGGGGAGGGGTGGGCAATGTGCACCCCCTGTGAGGGCTGCAGGGGAAAGCCCATGCCAACCCAGAACCAGAAGCTGGCACCTGGGCTGCCCACTGCCCTCCTACCCTGCCCACCCAGGCAGGTACTCACAAGTCTGTGAAGTCATCCAGGGTCTCATCAGGAGTGAACACATCCAGCAGCCCAATCACCTGGGGGGAGGGCGAGAGTGCTAGGTGGGGTCAAGGGTGTGGGGGAGGACACAGGGGCTTGGCAAGCTCCCCAGGGTGGCACTGCTCTCTGGGCAGGAAACCCCCTCTGCAGCTGTCCTCATCTCCCCCCACTGTCCACAGAGCCTGACTCTGCCCGGTGGCAGCATGGCCCAGCCCTGGCCCACATGCCCACAGACACAGGCTATTTTTGCATGGTGACAGCCGGGATCTTCTGGGGGAGGGACAGCTCCAAGTCTGGGCTGGCTCCAAGCGGTCCAAAGGGCTCTAGCCCCTTGGCCTTTCTTCCCCCGCTTCCTCTCCCCAACCAAAGAGACCCAGGACCAGGGTGCAGACAGCACCCTGGAGACATCTGGGAGGTCCTTCCTGGGGCCGAGCCCCTGCTGGTGAGGCCCAGGCGGGCAATGCTGTGACAGCCAAACCTGGTCCCCGCAGAGCCCCTGGTTGGGGGAGATGGACAGCAGACAGGTAATGTGACAACTGCCACCCCAGAACTCTGGGTTGACAGGAGCCCAGGGAGGCCTTCCGAGGAGGACTTTATATCTAAGTAGTCGGAGGGGCCAGTGGATGTGATGGCAGGGAAACACCTGGCAAAGGCCACTTGCATGGTAGCCAAGGTGGGAGAGAGGACGCTTGGAGAGTCTGAGGATCATAGAGAGGGAGGCCAGGTGGCCGAGGCCCAGGCCAGGGAGGAGTTGAGGAGGGGCTGGAGGGAGGCCGGGCAGGGCCTCGCACACCAGGTGAAGGTTTGGCTTCGATCCTAAGAGCTGCCAGGGAAGGGTGTAAACAAGGGTGTGACACTGAACATCTCCTCCTGGCTCCAGTGTACACACAGACCAGAGTGAGACAAGAACAGATACGAGGTGGAGGGACAGCTGGGTGACCACTGCAGCCACCAGGACCGAGCACTGGGCAGGAGTGTGGGCAGGGGGAGGATAAGAGAAGAGAGTGGGGCATCCAGAGAAGGGCCTGGGTGCACCAGGGAGAGTGCATTAGCCAGAGGACAGAAAACAGGGCCCTGGGGTGGGGGGTGGTGTGGGTGGCAGGATGGGCCTGTAGTCACTCCTCCTGCTGAGCAAGGCAAGCGGCCTCTCAGAGCTTCCGTTTCCTCATGGGAAATCGGGTCTACAATAGGAAGCCCCTCCCAGCTTGTGTTCAGGCACCCTGGAGGCAGCAGTGCCCAGTTGCAGGCGGGTCAGGAACCCAATGGGTCGGTAGGACCCTCTGGTACAGCAAGGTGAGCCCAGCACAGGCTGGGTCAGAGGTGGGAGATGGCTGAGGAGGCCCCAGAGCCCAATCCTCTGAGGAGTGATGGACAGGCAGGTTGGGGGTGGGCAGGAGTGCGGGCCGGTGGGTGAGAAGCTGGATGAATCCAAGGGCAGAGGAGGCTGCACACCCGGCTGGTGAGGCTGTGGCATGGCTGGACTCCACCAGAAAAGGGAAGGGCCCAGGGCCAGGGGCAGACATGGGGAGTCTGTGAGTGCAGGTGATCCATCAGAGCGGTGAAGAGTGCCAGGAACTGAGGGGGTCAGTTTGCTGGTGGACACAGGGACTGATTCTCCCAGGGGGCTGGTGGCCCTGTTGACCCAGGAGGGGCCAGAACATCTGTGTGGAGCCAGGGTCTTGGTGCCTGGGCCATCAGCCCTCAGAATGGACCCAGACCAGGGGTGAGGCAAGAGTGATGTGCATGGAGTGGACAGAACTCACAGCCCCAGGAAGAACCATGTCGACAAATGAAGTCTCTCCTTGGCAGAGAGAAGGGCTCTTAGCAACCAGAAATGGCCATAGGAGAGGCCAGGGGCAGCCATCTGTGGAGTCCCAAGAAAAGAGACAGGCCTTTCCCTGCTGGGGGTCTAGATATGCACCCCCATGGACGTGAAGGTGTCTGTCTGAAGGCCACTGTACCCAGTGCTCTCCAAACCCCAGCTCCCTTTTCGTTCCCAGGGGACCTGCCCTGCCTGAGGCAGAAGACTCGGAGGTGAACAGGAGCAGAGTGGGTCCAGAAGGGCTGGAGGCGCTGCAGGGGCCTGCGGTGGGGAAGAGGAGCAGTGCTCCTTCCAGGAAAATCCTCTTCCCGCCTGGAGCATGCCCCGGGCACGTCACCGTGCCCTCGCCAGGGCCTGGGCTGAGGAGCCAGAGGTGGCCCGAGGAGGAAGTCGAGGAGCTGAGTCCTTCCCGGGGGCTGGCACAGACGCAGAGGGCTGGATCTCGGGGAAGCGGTCCCCCAGGAAGGGACCGGGCCCTCGCTTGGCTCCCACCAGGGGGTGCCCGGGGGCCGCTCTTCCCAGGGGAGGCAGGCGGGGGGGGGGGCACGCGGGGGCAGCGGGCGCGGGGTCCCGGCGCCGGGCGACTCACGTTCTCGTGGCGCATGTGCTTGAGGAGGCGCAGCTCGCGGTAGGCGCGCTTGGCGGACAGCTCCGACTGGAAGGGG